TCCTTTTCCTAGTTCATCAAGACTGTTTTTACAAAAAATGTAAAACCGATGGAATGCTCCATTGTTTCAACTTCCTCACTTCTGTAGCTCAACACCCTGTACGGTGCTAGTCTTGCAATGGGACTTCTCATCCTCGTACACCCTATATGAACTGAGGAATATTTACTTTTAAAAACATTTTGAGTGTCTTTTTTTTTTCACTTTATTGTTCATTAAAGTACTAATATCCTTTGAATCCTTCATCCTAGATAGTGATTAATTTGTTTCATTACTTTTTATCCATCTTATATGTTCGGCCAGAAGAAATTTACCGTTGTCTTTTAAATTTTCCATCATCTTCTATAAATATTGTGTAGCATGAATGAAAAACATCTTTATGCTGGACTGAAGATTGGATGCTTAGCTTTTAAAGAACATCACACCAATGTTCTAAATTGGCGTTTACTTGGAATTGCTTAATACCAACAATAGTTGGCTATTAATTCAAGCTTTTTACAGTTCTAGTAATTCCTTGTGAGTTGAACACAGGTGATGTTTTATGCTCTTTTGATTGAGAACCTAAGTGTTCTCTCGTGCCAGGTGTAAGCATGGTCCATCCTGCATGAGACAGTGGCTTGGTGTCCACCCCAGTGCAGGCACACTGCGGGCAGTTACTCAATGATGGCTTGTAACTGATGGAGCAATTCGTGGCCTGCCCTCTTCCCTCTCCATTCTTTTCATGCCTTCTGCCCGCAAGCACCTCACCAGGCTCCTTGCTGGCCTAACTGCCCCCTGCCCTGGCTTTTCATGCCCATATCTTTGGGTGTATCTTGTCCCTCTTACCTAAAGGGAACCTTCCCTTTTGTGAAGAACTGGATTCTGGGCACGGAGATGATGGCTGGGTGCTGAGGCAGCTGCAGCATCCGCGTGCTCTGGAGCTTGTTAGAAATGCAGCCTCTCACCTCAGCCTGGCCAAACTGCAGTGGGAGCCCCATGGATCTGCACACACCTGCAGAAGACACTTTGAGAGGCTCTGGCTTAGAGCTCAGTCAGCTCAGGCTGCCCTTACAAAGTGCCACAGCCTGGGGGGCTCACACAACAGAAGTTTATTTTCTTACAGCCCTGGAGGCCAGAAGTCCAGATCAAGGTGCTGGCAGGGTTGGTTCTCCTGAGGCCCCTCTCCTTGCCTTTCAGATGCCACCTCGGTGCCTCTTCACAGGGTGGCGCGTGCATACCCTGGTGTCTCCAGATTTCCTCTTCTTATGAGGACCCCAGGCAGATTGGCTTGGGACCCGCGCTAATGGCTGCATCTTCACCTAAGCACATCTTTAAAGACCCTGTCTGCCAACAGTCACATTCTGAGGTACTGGGGTTTGGCCTTCAACATAGGAATTTTGTGGGGGACACCATTCAGCCCATAGCACCGCTTTAAAGAAGAAACTGAGGTTCAGAAAAGTGTGTAACAGTCAAAATCACGCCACGACCCAGATGAGAGCTTCATCTCCAACAGAGTCCTTCTGGTTGGTGGCGATGACAGGGTAAAATGGAGTCTGAGGTTTGCATTTAGGATTCAGCTTGGCTGCCGCTGCTTCTGGGAACTTGGATAAATGCCATCACCTCCCCAGGCCTTAGTTTCCTTTTCTGTGAAATGGGGACATTAAAGGCACCCCCTCGCAAGGTCATGAGGATTCCTTGAGATTTGGACGGGAAATGCAGATGACCACCTCACCCCACTCTGCCTCTTCCCTTTGCCTGCTAGCAAAATCCACTTGCTCTTACCACCAGCCAGAGTGCCCACTTATCTTCCCCAGGTGATTTGCAGTTTAATAGCTAGAAAAACCAGGGGTTTAAACGGTCGTGGTGGAATTTCAGGCATCAGCTGGCAGGTGCACAGGGTCCTTCCTGGAAGCTGGGCCTGTGGCAGGCACCAAAGGAGCCCCGTGACGTGCCCCCCGCCCCGGTGCCTGGGGCTCTCGCTTCTGAATAATAGGCTGTGCACAATTTGATTTCATTTCGGTCTAAATTGCCCAGCCCGCAACCAGGGATGCAAGGCGGAGTCCTACAAATCAATTCGGCTGTGCAAATAAGCCGGCGCCTGCTAACCTGAGGGTGTTTAGAAATGAGGCCCAGCTTCAGAGTGTTAAGGCAGTGATTGCAATTTGCCTTTTGGGGTCAAACTGGCTGTGAATGCAAAATTGCTTTCAAACGTTTTGTTTGTTGTTTAGATTTGTGTAGCATGCGTTGAGATGGGCTCTGTGCAAAGCCGTTGGCTAAGGCGAGATTGGGAAGATGGAGAGAATGTGTCTCCTTCCCCTTCTCAGAGGGGCTCCAAGCTGGAGTACACCTGGCATTGTGGCCTAAAACCCGGGGTTCAAGTCCAGGGGCCCGGGTCCAGGCAGGTCAGAATGTTGCCGGTCTGGGACCAAGGGACTCCCTTTCTCTTATCCATCCTATATCCATCTAGCCTCTTTTTTGGAGGGGCTGCTTTAAATCTTGCCCCTATGGCATGGTTAATGGGGTTCCCATCCACGTCCGGGGTCAGGATAGCGGGTCAGAGCAAGGCAGCTTCTTTTAGTCTGGTGGTAAGGTGTCCGCCCATGTCTGGGGCCAGATTCTTAAGTGTGGTCACGTTGTCCAGTTTGCAGATTTCCTGGACCCTTTGCTCTGCTCTGGCTTTGACTATGTCACCGTCCTCTCTTGCCTCCCAGAATGCAGGGCCCAAAGAGAGAAGGACAGAGGTCACTCTCTGAGTGACCCTGGGCAAAATATAGGTGGTCTCCCCCTCTGGCTCCTGACCATCCCCAGCCCACCTCTGTCATCACTGTGTCCGGGCTGTCCTGCAGCCCCACCCTGCTTCCTCCCTGTGGACCACCACCCCTACATGCCCAGGTTCTGCAGGCCTCTTGTCATGGGCTCGCCTGCTACATAGGAGTAATCATTCATATGAAGGAGTGAGTAATTAATAACGATTCCTCCTCTTTGGCATCCTTGCATTTTAACAAGAGGCCAATGCTTTAATAAAATAATGAAAAAAAGGAAGAACAAAAGAAAGTGAGAGGTAGAATGATGGACCCATAGTTTGTGCTGGAGGGTCTTCCACGTGCCAGCCAAGCACACGCCAGCCTCCTCACAGGGATCAGAAGTCTGAAGGCCGTGGGCCCCTTTGCCTCCTTGTCAGCAGTCCTGGTGGGGTGGGCAGCTGCCAGCCAAGATTCCTGCTGCCCGTTAGAGAGGCCCGTCCACTGGAAACGCGGGCATCAGCAGAATTGAACGGTGGATCAAAAACTGAAACAAATCACTTTAATTAGCTAACACCCAAACCTAATTCAAATAGTATTTCTTCACTGGACCATGAACCAATTTCGTGATCCCCTCCCCACACAGTTGACCAGTTGAACTCAGAATTGAACTAAGAAGGGATGGACTGACCATACAGCTAGCTACCGCCTCCCATATCGTGTGAGGAAGCTGAGGCCCTGAGACTTGTGGTCAAGGTCAAGGTCATAGGGCACCTCAGGGGCCCAGATTTGACTCTTTACTCTGATGACTTGTTACTCTCTCTGCTATTCCATGTGCCCTCTTGATGCAGGACCTCAAGAGATAGTACAAGTTATGTCATATATTGTGTGCTTTTGAATCGAGATCCTCTTAGACTAAGAAGTTGGGAACCCAAATGAGCGATGGGTGGCTAGGTGAGAATTCTCCCAGCCTTGCATTCCTCCCACAGTCCTAGAAAATCAAAGGGAAGCCTTTGCGATTTGTTGTGACTTGATTTATATTACGATCACTAATGTTATCATTGTTATTATGTGCCTCAATTAACCTGCTCATTTACGATTTTCTTTTCAAAGATTATAACAACATTCATCTAAATCAGTGGTTCTTAACTGGGGGGAGATTTTGCCCCCAGGGGACATTGGCCATATCTGGAGACATTTTTGGTTGTCACGACTTGGGAGGCGGGTTCGGTGTGTGTAACTGGCATCTGTTAGGGAGAGGCCATGGATACTGCTAAACAATGCCTAGGACAGCCCCCTACAACAGAGAATTATCTGGCCCCAAATGTCACTAGTGTCGAGATTGAGAAAGCTTGGTCTAAATCAACACAAAGGGAAGAAGTCTGCAAATCCTGCGGCCTCAACACTGAAACCTCACTTTTCTCTGTTCCTCCCGGCCTCTGCCCCACCACGTGTACTTCGATTCCCATAGTTTCCATAGTCATGGCAGGGATACAATTTACGTTCTACTTTTTTTCACTTAATATTGCGTTGTGAGCTTTTGTCCCTCTGGCCTCATCTTCACAATTACCATTTGTAATGGATGTAATGCGGTCCGACAGGCAGGTTGATACCCCGTGTTTTACCTGACTGGTCCAACTTTCTCACTGGGGGTGGCTACTGAGAGGCTTGCCAAGTGGGCTGCACTGGGGTGGCTTGTGTGGGCCCTGCTGTGGGCCAGCCTTCTCCTCTCCCTGCAGCCCCGGCTGATGCCATCATAGTCTTCATCATCAAAAGCCCTTTATGAAGCGCCTTGGTGAATATGTCCTGGCCCTGGGGGGCTCTTCTGCAGAGATCTTCCCACCAGCCCCTGACATCCGAGGCGTGTCAGCTCGGACAGACAGCATATATGTCAGCTAACCACGAAGACATCCAAATGCCGGGCTGTAGGCCCCAGGCAGAGGGCACAAAACCAGATTCGTAAGCAATATTCATGACAAGAGTAAGTGCATCTGGGAACGCAGGACAGGCTGGATTCCCAGGGGGAGCCAGGGCCTTGAAGACCCTCCTCCAGCTGGCTGCAGGCTACTCGAAGGACGTGGGAGTTTAGAAGCCACGGGAGGGAGCACGGGAGGGGAGCGGCTTGACAGGTCAAGGACTTGGGGTCAAGTGTTCCAGGCTCAAGTGTACAAGTGCACACTTGACAGGCCCGGGACGAACCTAGATACTGCTGGAGGCATCCCTCCTGAGACCTCCCCGCCAGCCTCTCATCTCACCTCGGTGCCCCCTTCTCTTCCCCTGCAGGTGTTCCATGAGCAGGGCATCCTCTTTGGCTACCGACATCCACAGAGTTCCGCCACTGCCTGTGTCCTCAGCCTTTTCCAAATGACCAATGAGACTCTCAACATCTGGACTCACTTGCTGCCCTTCTGGTACCTTCCACCCCCTTGACTGGCCTTCTCATTGAGGAGCTCTGGGAAGTGGGGCTTCTTTAAAACACAGCCTGTTGGGAGGGCTGAGATTCTGCTCTGGGATTTAGGGGGGTCCCCATGGTGCATGGCTGTGGAGCTGGGGGACGTCGAGGCCCGCTGCTGGGGCGAGCTTTAGGGCGTGGATTGTGGTAGGAGTTGAGGGGCTCCTGGCGGCTCCTGGGTCTTTCCCTGCTCCCCTGCTCCATGGCCTGACTTGACCTTGTCCCCTGCAGTCTTGGAGGCTTTGTGGGTCTGGCAGAAGCCCTGGTGAAAATGTCAGGAGCTTGAGCAAGTCCCTTAACCTTTCTGAGCTTTGCATTTTCCCATCTGCAAAGCGGGAGTGATAGTCTGCATCTTCTCCAAGGTTGCCATGACGAGTATGGGAGAAGACGTTGGCAAGGCATTGGGCACAGAGCTGTGGGTGCCCTGTAGTCGTTCTGGAACCACAGCAGCTGTGGGGCACTTGGTCAGGCAGCACTGTAACGGAGCAGCTAAGAGCAAAGCTCTGGGGAGCGCGTACGCAGAAATGGTTGTTGCCAGGAAGGTAAAGAGGGAGGACGGTGGGGGCTGAAGACCAACGTCACACACCTCGTGCTGGGCATAATGAGGGGAGAGGGGAGGGTGAAGGCGGAGTCAGAACACCGAGTTATAGATGTCAGGGCTTGGAAGGACCTCAGAGGTCATGTAGGACACCGTCCCACTGAGGATTCTGCTGGCTGACATAGATGTGGCCCAGAGAAGCGGGTGGCTTGCTTACATCACACAGAAAGTACTGGCACAGGCTGGTCTCTGGACATCCTCTCCCAATCGTGTCAAGAGGCCAAGAGAGTAGGAGGGACCCCAGAGTGTGCAGAGTGGAGACGGGCCCAAGGAAGGCAGCTTGCTTGATCAGAAGTCAGAAGACACCCCGCAAGGCCACAACGCAGGGGAAGGCTGTTTGGTGCCAGAACCCTCCCCAGGGGAGAGGAGAGAGAGCTCAGCCTTGGGATGGAATAGGCCGTCTGTAAAGAATTCCTAAGGGGGCCGGCCCCGTGGCCGAGTGGTTAAGTTTGCACTCTCCGCTGTGGTGGCCCAGGGTTTAGCCAGTTCAGATCCTGGGCGCAGATATGGCACTGCTCGTCGGGCCACGCTGAGGCGGCGTCCCACATGCCACAACTAGAAGGACCTGCAACTAAGATATACAACTATGTACATGGGGTTTGGGGAGATAAAGCAGGAAAAAAAAAAAAAAAAAGATTGGCAGGCAACAGTTGTTAGCTCAGGTGCCAATCTTTAAAAATAAAAAGAAAATTCCTAGGGCCTGCAGACTGGTCAGCGTGGCAGCGGGAGGCTGTTTGTCATTTTAAATTTAAGTAAACCTAAGTAAACTCCAGGAAAAGTCTACATGCTAATAACTTATAACTTGCAGAGGGGAAGAGAGTCAGTGTCCTCCCCTGGCCCCTCTCCTCCCTGGAGCCACCAGGTGACCTTCTCTCCTCCGTTGTCCCAGAGAGCTCTTCTACAGACGTGGGCGTCTGTGATGTGTGAGCACCCAGCCCTGCGCTCTTCCTTCCCACTGATCTTCCTTTGCTCATTTCCCTTGGAGATCTCTGACCCACAGGACTCTCAAGCTTTTGAGCAGCTGCGTGGTATTCTGTATTATGGCTGATTTAGGCTGTTTTAAGATTTGTGCTGCTACAAAGAATGCTGGCCTGTCCATCCTTGTTTGTGGGTCTCGAGCTCCTGTGTGCAGATTCCGAGGGATGACTTCTTGGCTGTTTTACAGCCGAACCACACGGGCTGAGGCGCCCCACTGCGTACGACACCCCTACACTGCCAGGCACGGAGAGACGATACCATTGAGCAACGCGCAGTAGCTGGAAGGGCTTGGGAGAGCCTGGAGTGAGATGCCCGAAGGAACTGGGACTAGGGAATGGTCTCAAGATAATAAAAGGATATGTGTTGAGAATGGGCAGGTAGCGAAAGTTTTATTTCTGCTGGGACAGGAGGACAAAGGTCACAGTGTAGCCAGAGGATTTAGTGACACTCCTTGGGTTCCTGTGTGAAGGACTTTGTCGTCTCCTGCCCTGGGAGAGTTAGTGGGAAAGGGGGCCGCTTTCTAGGAGCCGCTCGTGGATGTGGGCAGCTCTGCAAGCAGGACCCCCTTGCATGAGTTATAGGTGAGGCAGGTCTGATGCAGAACTGTGCAATGTCTCTGTGTGGAGATGGAGCCGAGAGATCCAGGCTCGGCCGAGACTCAGCGTGGGACTAGGCCGCTCAGAAAAGTGATGGCCATGTTAGTGGAGGAATAGTGTGGAAGAGGGGGGAGGAGAAAGTCCTGTTGTCTTCCAGACTTTCAGGGCCCCACCTGGGAACTGCTGCTGTTTGAGGAGCCTTCCTGCAAGGGGGACATAGACAAATGACAGGGATGGTGACAAGGCCAAATTTGGATCCTGTGAGGAATGGCCGAATGCGCTGAGGTTATTTAATGTAAAATTCAAAGAGGTGGGGCGGGGTCATGAAGACGGCCTTAAGATACTTGATGGGCTTGTTTTCCATGGTCCTGATGGGGAGAACTAAAGCTGATCAAAGGAAGATAGATTCCAGGGAGACAGATGGCAGCTCAGTGAAGGACTTTCCAACACTCAGAGCTGCCTTGGGAGGTGGTGAGCTCCCCATCCCTGGAAACATGCAAACTGAGGTTGGAGAATCACTGGGGCAAGATGCTGTAAGAGGGATTCTGTCACCACCAGATGGGGAAGGAACTGGGCTAGATAACCCCAAAGGCTCTCTTCTTACCTCTCCTGCCCATTTATAACCGAAAAAGGCCCCCACTCACCCTCCCTCCCTCACAGTGAGAATACACAGGGATCAGTTATCCTGGGTCATGGCAGGCAGAAGGGAGCCAGGCGAGGAGTAGAAGAGGAGCGCCCGGCCCTGGCCCCGGAGCTTGAGCGGGTCATGCTGTGTTCCAGGTTCTTCGCGTGGAGGTTTGTGACCGTACTGTATGTGACAGACATCCAGAATGACAGCTACTCCTGGCCTCTGCTTGTGTACATGGGCACCAGCTGCGTGTACCCCCTTGCGTCTAGCTGTGCGCACACCTTCAGCTCCATGTCCAGGAACGCCCGGCACATCTGCTACTTCCTGGACTACGGTGCCGTCAACCTCTTCGGCCTGGGTACGTGGGGCCCTGCGCTTGCCCTCCCCCCCGGTGACTGGGCTGCTGCCCCTTCCTCTGGAGCTGGGGCACAGGATACTTTGGTGGGCTTGCAGAAGAGTCACAGGAATGCCAGTGCCTGCCCAGCTTCCTGACGAGGGTTTTGTAAGAAACGTGTCCACAGGTGTGCTGGCAGATGTTTAACAGCTGGTTCTCTGGGGACATCTGTGGTGTTTGCTGATTTGTGTGGTGTACGCACTCCCACCATGGCTGACTTCAAGGTGCCAACAGGACATCACTGAACACGGTTGGGGAGAGGACGGCGTAGCACGCCATTACATAGTAATTCCTCTATACAGATACATTAATTGAGTATTTATTACTTTTATTAGTATGATTTATTTAATTGTAAGTTTATGTCATCTAATTTTTAATGATGGCTGTGTTTAACAATTGGCTTGCAAGTTCTCTGAAACGGTAACAATCTGCTCTTGCAGCCAGGGTGAGCCAGTGTGAATATCAGGGCGGGTCCTGTCGGGTCGGGCAGCAAGGAGGGCTGGGGGTCAGGAGCCCCGTTTGTCCGGAGGCTTAGAGGAGTTAGAGACGGGCTCAGGGCCACAGGAACGGTGTGGTGAAGCCACAGCTGGTAAGCTTGGGCGTTAACGCCCCAGCCTCCTCCTGTTTTCCTTTAAGTATGATGCCCCTTCCTCTGGTCTCCTCTCCCCCAATTGTGGGCATCCATCTCTCCTCGCATCCCGATTCTAGCCTCTTCTCCCTCTTGACCCTGCTCCCGGTGTGAAAGCAAAGTCATTGTCTTCCCTGGACCAAGAGGAGCCCCCCTCCATCCTACTTCCCCCTCTCTCTTCCTTCTCACGCACACATGTACACATCCACACAATACACCTGCATACACACATCACACATAAGTACACACATGTATACACACAGTCTTTACTGCCTCACCTCCCACTCCTCAGGGCCCTGCTGCCCAGTCCCCACCGTCCACTGACACTCTGGTTGCCGAGGACCCAGCCTCCTGCGGACTCTCAGGGTCTGGCTTCCTGGGCTCTCCACACTCCCTCCTTTCCTCTGGTCCCTGCTGCGTCACTGCCTCCAGTTCGCCCATCGTCCACATTCTCGTTCTCCTTCGCTGGTTCCCCTTCCTCTGCTCTCTCCATGTAGGCGGGCGAGCTCAGAATCGGTCCTTGGGCCTCTGCTCTCACATGGTCCAACTCCCTGGGTGATCCCCATCCCCTAACACCCGGGGACGAGGCACTCCCAACCCCCGTCTCCAGTTTAAACGGCTCACCTGAGGTCCTCGTCACCTCCAGCCCTGTGACAGAGACTGGCCCGTCCTCCCCACCCCTGCCCTCGCAGCTGCTCGCCCTCAGGTCAGAGATCTGTAAATAATCCTCAAGTTCCCCCTCCCTCTTTCTCCTCTGTGCCCAGCCCACTTCCACCATCCTCTCTAATCAGTTAACAAGTTCAGCTAACTCAACTTCAGCCAAGCTCCTCAGCCCTGTGGCCCCATAGCCCTTGATCGCCTGCTCCGGACTCACTCACGATAGGAGCAATCACTTGGGCAGCAGACTCCGTGCTGAGCGCCTGACACACACCGTGCTTAGTGGCCCGCCTGCCACCACCCCTGATAGTTATATGCTCTTGAGCAAGTTTCTTAACCTCTTCAGCAGTCAATTCTCTCATCCACAAAATTGGCATAATATCTTCCTCGTAGGATGTTTTGAAGATTAAATGAGTTTTGTAAGGGAAGCACGTTAGACAGCGCCTGGCATGTAGTAAGCATTGGAGGGTAGCCACTACCGCATCATCTCATTAGCCCTAATGTCAGTTCCCTGAGGCAGGGACTATCCTTACACCCCTGCTGTAGGTGAGAATCATGGGGCACAGTGAAGGCGAGTTCTTCAGGTCACACAGCTTGTAAACGGCAGAGCCAGGGCCCCGGGAGCCTCAGGGACCCCTGCCTGTGGCTCCTTCCATGCCCCCAGGCTGGACCCATCTCCATGTCACTCTGGTCCCCAGGCGTATCAGTGGTTCCTTCATTTCTGCTGCTCACTGGAACAGCTCCCTGAGAACAGACGTTTTGGTTTTCCAGCCCGTACGTAGCCGAGTGTCTGACATGGGGGTGTTCAGTAAACATGGAAGGAAGGTCTGATCAGCGAGAGAGCCCCTGGCTTCCCCGGAACTCCCAGCCCCATTGTCTGCAGCCACCTCCCCTCCCCATTCTCACTCCTCCATCCCTGGGGAAACCCTCACTCCCTGGATGGGGGCATTTGCTCCAGCTTCCTCCCTGATTTCCAGCTGTTCCTCCCTCTAGGCCACCCTATTCACTTTCAGTAGGCTTTGGTCATCTTAATACCCCAGTCAAAAACTGGGGGGCTCCCTATCACCTGAAAAAGGAACTTCATTGTCCTTAGTCTGGCATCCAGAGCTGTCCCCCGTGCCTGCTGCCCGGAAGGCCCTTCCTGCCCCTGGCCACCTGTCAGAATCCTCCATCTTCCAAGGAGGTTTCAAGGTCAGCCCCTTGCTGGATGCCCATCATCCTGAGCGCCCACTCACACCGGAACCGCCTGGAGGCGCTGATCAGCTTTGCTTCCCGCTGCAGTTTGTGGCAGGGCCTGAGGCTCCCTTGCTCTTGTATTGTGCTCGGAGCTTGGCACGCACCGTGGCCCCAGTCGGTAAACAGAGAGTGAATGCATCCTGGTCCAGATAGGAACTTCCCCGTAGCACCAGGCTGAGAGAAGAGTTTGTCTGCCCTGGTGGAGGCTGTTCCAGCTGGAATCTCACAGGCAGCCTGCTGGCGTGGGGAGCACTGTGCCAGGAGGAGGCGATTCTGGCCCTTTCTGCCTACATCACCTGGGAATGGCACTTGACTTCACTAGTCTCTGGCCGCTGAATGGATCAGAGGCAGGGGTTGACCGTGCGAGGCCCGAGGCCTGTTTCAGCCTTGAGTAGGATCCAAGGCTGCTGAGTCTTTGGAATAACAGGTGATTCTTCAGGCCCTGGGCTGACAGCCCTGTGGCTGCCTCTCCCAGAAGGGACCTCAGCAGGTGAGGGTGCCCAGAGAGGCCATCTGGTCCAGGCCTCTGGCCACACACCTGGCCCCCTTGAAAAGGACAGTGATCTCTCCTGTTCTTTCAAGTAAAAGGCCTCTGCTCTCACATGGTCCAACTCCCTGGGTGATCCCCATCCCCTAACACACACAGCAGACAGGTCTCTAGAAGGTCCTTAGGTAGCCCCTCTCTCACAAACTCCAAAACAAAACACTGAGGCCAGCCTCTTACATCCAGCCTCTCAGCTGGCCGTTACCCAGCCCACTGACATGATACGCCTCACCTGGGCAAGGGCCCTCCCTCTCCACAACATTGATCTGTCCACACATGTCATGTCGTCGGGCAGGTGAGAATGTGCATATTCAGAGCAAAGCTGAGCACACTGGGCTGTCATGGACCCTAGCATGTGGTTAACAGCAGAGACTATTGCTTGTGTTTGAAGGTTGGCTTTGCCGCTCTCCAGCTGTGTGTCCCTGGGTGGGTTACTAAACCTCTCTGTGCCCTGTTTCCTCATCTGTAAAATGAGGATAAGTGCAGGATTTATGTCACAGGGTGATTGTAAAGGTTATGTGAGTGAATGTGTGTAAAGCCCTTGGCGCATTGCTGGGCTTGTCATAAGTTCTCAGGACAGGATTTGGGTAGGCAGAGAAGGGAGAGGAGGACATTCTAGAAGAGGTGATGGCATAAGTAAGGCTGCAGTGACAGGATGGCCCCTGGTCTGTGGGGATGATGAGGGTTCAGCCAGAGGCTGGGTTGGTCCTCGAAAGGAGTCCAGACAGTGCTGCATCCTGGCTTCTTGCCCAAAGCTGCTTTTTCTTCCCCAGGCTCAGCCATCGCCTACTCGGCCTATACGTTTCCTGATGCACTGGTGCATACCACCTTCCACGACTACTATGTGACCCTGGCTGTGCTGAACACCATCATCAGCACCGGCCTCTCCTGCTACTCCAGGTACCCGGCCCCTCCATCTCAAGTGGGACGGGGAGGGGACTGAGCAGTCGGCCCCATGGACTGCTGAGGGGCCAGCAAAAGAGGCGGGCTCGGTGGAAAGGGCAGGCACTTGGGGGCCTGGGACGCAGCTCCAGGCGGGCTCCCTGTGGCCAGGCAGGATCAGCTTCGTGGGCACACAGCCTGTGCAGGTGCCTAGGGCCCTGCCAACAGGACGGCTCCACACTTGGTTCAATGCCCTGCTGTTGCTGTCTTGAAATTCTTAATGATTTTTTTCTTTTTAAGATTTTATTTTTCCTTTTTCTCCCCATAGCCCCCCGGTACATAGTTGTGTATTTTTAGTTGTGGGTCCTTCCAGCTGTGGTATGAGATGCTGCCTCAGCATGGCCTGATGAGCAGTGCTATGTCCGTGCCCAGGATCCAAACCGGCGAAACCCTGGGCCACTGAAGCAGAGCGCGTGAACTCAACCACTCGGCCCCGGGGCCAGCCCTCTTAATGATTTTTGAACAAGAGTATTGCACGAGGCCCTACAGATTATGTAGCTGGTCCTGTTGCTGGACAAGTCACTTATCCTCCTTGAATCTCAGTTTGCTTATCCATCAAATGGGGCCAACACATCTACTCTGTGAGACGGATGTGAGGATTACAGGTAACGTACTCAGAACACCTGGCCCAGAGCATGTGCCCATCAGTGGCCAGTCTGCTAACAGTGCTGGAGTGGGCCTGCCTCTAGGTGTGTGTGATGGGTGATGGATGATGCTCAGATGTCCAGCACATCCCCAGGGAGCCCCATGGCTATGAGTCACATTGGCTCTCATTCCCTCTATATTTCTTTCCTTTTCACTCAAGAAAGCTCATTGGTGTGTGGGCACAAGAGACATTGATTTGAGGATAACTCCTCTGGTTTATTCAGCTCTTTGTAAAAGTGAACTGCCCAAACCTCCAGGTCCCTAAAGTACTTAGGATCCTCTCACATGGTGGTGTCGGGGCGACAGCCCTGTCTGCATGGTGCCAGGCTGCTGGGTGCTTTTGGGGCCTGGGGTGGAGGGTTAGGAAAAGCATCAAGGCAGGCTGGCAGGTCACACGTGACCTTCTATCCCCCCAGCCGTGGTTCCAGCGAGCCCATTCGCATCTCCCTGTTGGACTGCCACGGGCCTCGCAGAATTAGTATTACTTGCAGCCGTCCACTCTCCCCTGCCCCAGGAGAAACTGGGAGGGAGCGGTGTGCGTCTCTGACTTGTCGGCAGGGATCTTGGCTCCAGCTTTCTTCGAGTGACACAGGTTTTGTGGGATCGAGAAGTAGGCAAGTTTCACATACTTGACAAACTGGTTTTCTTTAAAAATGAAAGGATAGATTTTTAAACAGCATCAAGAACACTTGCCCCAACTTGCCTTCCACTTACCCGTCCTGAGACGGGTTGGAAGCCTGGGGTTGCTTACGTGGGAGTGAGTTTCGTTCCTGGGCACAGTCTCAGCCCCGGGTTTTGTGTTGCTTCATCCCGTGGAAAGGCCTGGGCTGGGAGTTGGTGGTAAACTCTCCCTTCCTCTCCCCGGAAGTTCCAGAGCTCCCCTGTAGCTGCAAGGAGATGGGGTCTGCCCCTAGGGGTAGAAAACAGAATCGGATCTCCCCCAGTTCCTCAGGGCTCTGGCGATTCAAAGCTCTCTGAAGCGCAGCCTCCGTGCCAGGCCGGAGCTGTGAGGGCTGCACACGCGAGGGCGAGGGGAGGAGAGCGAGTCTCTACTTGGGTGAGACAAGGTGTAACACACGTAGGAAAGTAACAGTGATGCTAGAAACGGTCTGAGAGAGAGGAAGCATGTCCCAGAGGCACAGTGCCTGGATGCGTGGGCTCACAGACGGGCCTGGTCCAGGGACCTGGACACACCTGGATCTGGTCCTTGGACGGTCACTGTCCTGTCTGGTTAGCTCCTGCAGGGCTGTGTGGCTCTGGTGTTTGGAATTTAGGATCAGAGGACAGTGAGGTGAGCACTGTGGGCTGAGGGCCAGGGAAGGCTCCGTGGGTGTGGAAGAAAGGTCCCAAAGTTCTCGATCCAGGATTGCTTCACCATGAGCTCCTGATGCAAATTCTTGCAACATTTGCTGCTTTTTTTTTTTTAAGTTTCCTGAATCACCTGTAAGCCACCAGGGTAGATTGTTTTCTTCTAGCCGGGAGTCCTCCGTGATTGTTCAGAGACAATGAATGGGTCTTTTGGATGCAGCACGCCTGTTACCTTTGGACAAACTTGTTTGGCAGGGCAGGTTGGCCAGGAATCTCTTAAATGTCCATGTTTAAGGGCTTCTTTCTGTCAATGAAATGGATTATTTCTGTTTATTTATAGGGCACATCTGTGGCTATTCCAACCATCCACCCATCCATCCATCTACCTACCCATCCACCTACCCTTCTACTCATCCATCCGCCCACCTATCCACCCATCCATCCATCCACCCACCCACCCTTCTACCCATCCATCTCCCCACCTATCCACCCATCCACCCCTCTACCCACTCACCCTTCTACCCATCCATCTGCCCACCTATCCACCCATCCATCCATCTACCCACCCACGCTTCTACCCATCCATCTGCCCACCTATCCACCCATCCATCCATCCACCCACCCACCCTTCTACCCACCCATCCACCCATCCATCCATCCATCCATCCACCCACCCACCCACCCACCCTCCTTTCTACCCATCCATCTACCCACCTAGCCATCCATCCATCCACCCATCCATCCATCCATCCATCCATCCATCCATCCATCTATCCATCTATCTATCTACCCACCCGCCCATCCACCCACTCAATGGCCTTTAGAGGGCAGCATTACAGAATGTAACATAAACAAATGATGGTAATACACTATGATGCCTACCTGGATGCAAAGGGTTTTGAGAAGTGGCATTGGGACTGAGTATTGAGGGAAGTTGGACACTTTAGCTGGAGAGGAGGGAAGGGCCTTCTGGGCTAGTGAACAGCCTGGGCAAGGGGGAAGGGGCCAGCGGGGATGGGACGGCATTGGGAGACAGCAAGGAGCTTCTGAGCTGCCAGAGGCTGCAAGGCTGGAAGTGCCTGGAGAGGGGCCCCAAAAGCGGGCCATCTGTGTCCCACTGAGGACTGGCCCTATGCTTGGGAAGGACAGTAATCTTCCCGGGAAGACAATTCCAGGACTTGAGGGGCTTCCAGGCGTGTTAACAGCCACTGAAGTGGGGCAGTGGAGGCTATGCTGGAACAGAAATGGAGAAAGGGGGCAGACGCCACGTTCTCAGAGCCACGTTCCCAGGGCTGTCCTCTTCTGAGGGCCTTCCCGATGTCCTTCCCACCTGCCTCTTTCTTTCCACGTCAGTGGTTTCCCTGCCTGTACAAGGCCTGTCCTCTGTTTTCTTTCCTGCCTCTGTCCTTAGTGTCTGAGGAGTGAGAGGATGTCTCATGTGCAGGGAGTGACTCTGGCCCTTTAACTTCAGGAGAGGTAGGTAGAGAGGAGGGCAAGGGCCATCTGGAGTCCTGGGTTTCACAGACTTGCTGTGTGGCCTTGGGCCAGTCACTGCCCGCTCTGGGCTTCAAGGACCACTCCTTAAACAAGGGCCTCTGAGAAGATGTCTTCCGGGTTCCCTCTGGTTTGGGCGTTCTACAATGCCAGTGCTTCAGTGTCCTTTTCCAAGATTCCTCTCCTTGCCTTCTTCCTCCCCCACGCCAACCCCTGCCTCTCTCTCCTGCTCCCTCAGTCTGTGGCATGGCCAGGAGTGAACCACTTCTCCTTCCCTGAGCCCAGAAGGAGACCAGGAACCCCGTTAGTAGTTTTTAGTTATTCACGTGCTTCCTGGAACATCATGGTCTAAATGGTGTTCCTTCCATCACAGTTCACGTCCTTAAAGTAAATCTCCGCATAGAGAACTGTGGACTCCCCTTGACTGGTTTTTGGTCCTTAATATCATGGAATTTGGATCAAGTGAACATGTTCCAGAAAACTGCTTTCTTGTTTTATAGCATTTGAGAGGAGAAATGAGAGAATGTGTGACCTCTCTGTGGCTCTTGGAGCAGATGGGGGTGACGGCAATGCAGCCTGGCATACCTGCCGAGCACCAAAACGCCCCGGAAGGTGCCCTCGCTGCCCAGGAACGTTAGTTGCACGCTGTTTGCTGTACATCGCAAGTCGCTGTGGGGACTTTCTTGTTCATCCATCCAAAGCATCCCAGTGGTGTTGTTTTGACAGATACTCACTCCGTGAAATGCTTTGTGGTCGGTGCCGTGAGGGAGAGAGGCGAATTTTCATCCCCGGTGGAAAGCGAGCTGCTCCCTGAGAGCACACTGTCCCTGGCAGCTCAGAGTGGCATGCAGCCGCCTGGAGCGGGTCTGGAGGTCCAGGCTGGAGACAGCAGGCTCAGCACACAGTCCTTCTCAGGCCCATCTGGGGGTCAGAGGGCTCAGCCAGATGTTAGTGTTGCTAGCGCTGGGGGCCAGCACATGGAAATATCCACATTCCTGCAGTGTCACCCACACAACAACAAAATAGCCGTAGCCACCCCTGTCACGCACACCCCTGCAGTAGAATGATGCTTCCAAAGGCCCGCTAGTGAATCCTGCAAAATTCGCTTGCAAATACTGACAGCCTTGTTGCAACAAGATTGATCAGGTTTTGGAATAGACTGTTATTGCATCGCCCCTCTCTGGATGGAGGCTTCTCCTGAAATCCAGTGTTTCCTACCATCTGGTTCTAGGCAGAGGCTTGACTGTTTAGGTCCCTCATGCCGTCCCAGGCGCTGCTTGGAGAGCTGGGGGCCTGTCTGTGGCTCCCGCCCCTCCCGCTCGGACTCTCTGGCTGTAGCGACACCGTGTGGCCGGATCTGGAATTGCGCCTTGGTAGTGGGAGGCCCCTCTCTGTGGCTGCTGGCTCTTCTGCCTTTAATTCTCTGTTGCTGTCTCTTTTCTCTTCTGCTTTTTGTCCTTTTTTTTCCTGTAGACTCGGCTTGGCAGCTGGAGAGGCTGGTTCCTTTGCCCCTGGGGAAGAACTTTATCAGGCCGGGCGAAATATTTTCTCAAGTCGCAGGAAGTCCATGCTTTGGGGGATGGCCCTCCCCAGCCAGAGCCGGCTGTCTTTCTGCGTAAGTGGCCTCAGCAAGGGCGCGCTTTAACAGCGAGCCTTCGTTATCCCGGAGGGATAGGCGGTGGCCGTGCGGGGAAGGAGGGAGCGGGCGCGCCGCGCTGGACGGGTCTGCAGGCAAGGCTGAGAAGGCTGCTGAGACAGGCCCTGGTTCCCGGGGCGGCGGGAACGTGTTCGGTTCCCGCGTGGGGCAGAGCGAGTGCTGGTAAGGACGAAGGCTGGGTAGTGGTCTGAGGCCACTCAGTGCGAGGGTGTGAAACTCGGGAGTCAGACCGCCCTGGTTTTAAATCCTAGCTTTGCCTCTTACTAGACAAGTCGCCCGGAACCGCCTGTTCCCTCCTCTTCCTATTTTCTGGTACCACTAGCTGCAAGATGGAGAGGGCGAGAGATTAGATCCCTACAACACACTTTATTTTTTTAGGGCTGAGGAAGATTGTCGCTGAGCTAATATCTGTGCCGGTCTTCCTCTATTGTGTATGGGGCAGTGCCACAGCATGGGTTGATGAGCAGTGTGTAGGTCTGTGTCAGGGATCCGAACCCGCAAACCCCAGGCTACTGAAGTGGACCGTGTGAACTTAACCACTACACCACTGGGCCGGCCCCCAACACACGTTTTTTTAAAGCTGCCATTTAGTGAGTGTTACTCTGTGCCACACACAGTTGTAAGCTCCTTGCAAATATCCTTTCGTCAAATCCTTGCAACGAGCCTGTGGAATGCGGTTGTCATCCTTGTGTTACACCCGAGGATTCTGAGGTGCACAAAGGTTATGTAACCTGCCAGGGTCACTTACCACTAAGGGCAGAGGCAGGATGCGAACCCAGACTGTCCACGTCACAAACACTGCTTGCAAAGTCACGGGGCTGTGCTGCCCGCACCTGGCCTGGGGGTTGTGATTTACACCAAGGCTGGGGTTCTTGTCTGGCAGGATGATGAACTGAGGTCTCTTATTTCTCTTCCTCCTTCTCCTTGAGCTGCTCTTCCTTCTCCACCCGATGCCCACTGTGTGCTTCTCTGGTTTATGGGCAGGGTCAGACAGAAGAGGCGTGCTGGTGGCTTGAGTGAACTGGGAGCTTGTCTTGGTGGCTGAGGGGCTTCTTGGAGCCCGCAGTGGCCACCTGTTGCCTGGAATAGGAATCCCCACGCTCGGCTGCCCTGAGGGCTGAGCAGAACACGCCAGCCCGCAGAGGCTGCTGAGCCGTGTGCGGGGGATCCAGACCTGAGAAGACCCAGCTCCCGCCCTTGAGGAGGGCTCCCCAGCCGCCCAGGAGGCATGTGTGGGGGTCTCTACCATGTCCCACACTCCAGGATACAGGCAGCAGTGGGGTTTGTAGTCAGCTGACTGCCCGGGACAGCCTAGCCAGGGGAAATTGGCTCAGCCCGGGGGCAACGGACCGTGTTTTGGGGAGAAGGGGCAGGCCTGTGGGCTGGGACAGGGGGTCTGGGGAGCAGAGGAGGGGAGCAGCAGTGGGACACAGACATGTTCCTGCCAGAGAGTGTGATGAGGGCAGAACTGAGGGGAAGACTGAGAGGGCCCCAGTGCCTCCTCTGTCCTCGAGACCACATCAGAACTGCCGTCCCAGCTGCCTCAGCACCCTGGCTCTGCACACCACCCACATGGGGCCTCTGGCCTTGCCCTGCAGCCTGTGGGCACCGAGGGGAGACCCGGCCTCCCACTCACACTGTGGTGTTGAAGCGGGTACCTGCCCCACCCCTGGCTTTGGGGGCCCAGTCCAGTGTCAGCACGTCCTCACCCGACCCCAGTCCAGGGCTGTGGTTTGCTGTGGAGATTCTTCTGGCCCCTCCGGTGTCCTCCCCGCCATCTGTGCTGCCCCGCTCCCCACGCCCTGAGCTGCCGCCCCTTCCCCAGGCTGCGCCCAAGCCAGCTGAGGCTCCACCATCTTCTGTCCCGGAGGAGCTGCCCGTCTTGGTGACAGAATACCTTCGTTTTAACGTTGGCTTCATCTGTCTTTGGATTGGAGGTGGATGAGTGTGGGGATGAAGGAGAGAAGGAAAGACCAGGTTTACTCAGTTTCCCCAGGCCAGGATCACCGTGTGTGGCATTAAACATTCCAGAGATTTCTCAAGGTAGTTAAACACCTACTGAAGCCAGGCCTTCTGCATGGTCATCACCTGGGCGGCTCTGACTAGTGAGACAGCTCGACCCTCACAGATGTGCTTGTCCAGGAGCCTGTGTCCCACGTGTCCCCTGTCCTGGTGGTTCCTGGACCCCGAAAGCTCTTGGGCAGTTGGACAGCTGGGCCCTTGGCAGGCTTCTTCGGCCCATGCTCCTCCCTGGCTTCGTCTGGAAACACTGCTCGTCACACTGTGGTGCCAGGAGGTGGCTTCCCTGGAGGCCTTGTCTCATCTGAGGACAACTCCCTGCCATGGGGGTGGGAGACATGGGAAAGGCTGCTGAGGAAGCCGCTGCTGCAGGAGGAGGCTGTGCAGAAATGCTGCTGCCTGCTTGCCCTCGGTTATTTTTAATGTGTGTGTGTGTGTGTGTGTGTGAGATTTACTGAAACTCTTTTCATTCCCTTCTCTCCCCCCTTTCCTCCTCGATTCAGGTTTCTTGAAATCCAGAAGCCCAGGCTCTATAAGATGCTTCGCGTCCTCGCCTTTGCATATCCCTACCTCTGGGACTCCGTTCCCATCTTCTACAGGGTAAGGGCCTGGCTCCAGCCCCTCTCTGCCTGTTGGCAACACCAGGGAATCAGTTGAGCTCCTGAGCTCCTGGGGGTCAGAGCACCACACAGGCCACTGTAGGACACACAGGAGTCAAGACCACCTGCTCCCTCACTGGCCCCTGCAGAGTAGTTAGGAGATGGCATGAGCACAGAGGCCCTGCCAAACCGTGGGAGGTGGGCCAGTGGCCAGCACTGACTGGGGGCTCTGGAGCAATCATGGAGGGCTGGGCACGGAGGCAGCCTGGGGTTTAGTAGAGTGACCAGGAGAGCGGGCTCTGGAGCAGATCTCTAATACTTACTCCCTGCAAGCCTCTGGGCAAGTTATCTGCCCTCTCTGTGTCTTGCTTTCCCTCCTCTGGAAATGGGGCATGGTAATAATGCCGCCTCTCATCAGGCGGTGGGGAGGATCACCTGAGATAACATGTGAGGTGCTGGCTGGTGCCGAGAGTCCAATAAATACGTTGTTATATATTATCATCAATTAACAGATTATCAGTAGTGAAGGAAAAAGTATGAATGATGGTCCTAAAGGATAGATGGAAATCAGATGGAGAACGTGAAGAAAGAGGGTGTAGAGGGGAAGACAAGAAGGGGGAAATCCATGCACTCCCGAGTCAGATGGACCTGAGTTCAAATCCCAGTCCCACTGCTCCCTGGCTGTGTGACCTTAGGCAATGCACATAACCTCTCTGAGCCTCAGTTTCCTCATCTGTAAATGAGGTTAACATAACCTCCTTCACAGTGGGTAGAATGGATGAATCAAATCAACAGATCAATGCCTGGCACGTGGCCAACACCCAGTGAGTGGAGTTCCCCTGCCAGGCAGCCTGTGGGTCTGATGCACCGGACCGAAATGTCAGGACCAAGGAGTGAAGGAGACGAGTAGAGCTGGCTCCACCAGCTGGGGCATTGAGCACGTGCTCTGTGCTCTGCCTGTGTGGTCTTGGGGGCCTCCACCCGGAGATGGGGATGCAGCCCATTCCCCTGACTCCTTCCTCAAGACACAGACCATGCACAGGAAACCAGAACAGAGAGAACAAGCTGGTCTCACGTGCCACCAAATCACACAGCACAGCTTCTGCATCATTACGAGCGCTGTGCACTCCTGGCCCTCGGCTGCATCAGCCAGTGGGCAGTGAGTTGGGGAGGCCTGATCCTAAATGGAGATGCTGATGAGCACACAGCTTCTGGAATCAGCTTGCTGGGATCCAGATCCTGACTTCACCACTAATTTGTGGTTTGCAAGTCACCCTCCAGCCCAGCTTCCCTGTCTGCAAAATGGGGGCCGTAGGGTGTGCCTCGTGGGAATTGTTGAGGCTCCCATGAAAGGGTGCAAGTAGAAGGCCTGGCCTAGTGCCCTCAGTAAGTCATGGCTGCTGGCCTTATTTACAACAATGATACAAAAGCTATACTGAACTCTAAAACAGTATAATGGCCCTAATTAATACTTTTTGATGACTCTTGAAGGCCTTCCAGGGATTTCTAGGCCTTAAAGCCTTAATTAGGAGCATCAATTCAGTGGATGTGCTGGTTAGAAGTGAGTTCAAGTGTGAATAGACCACTTTTTACTAAACTCATATTTTACCCCCAGAAAAAAAGTAGCAATATATTTAATAGAATTTTTCTTTCCTTTCCTCTTCTTTTGTTTTCCTTTCTTTTCTTTCCTTTTTTTTTCTTTGTAATTAAATAACCCAAAGGCTCTCATGAGTATATGGAGGATTAAAATACAGTTGGCTTGGGTCTCAGTTGATCCCACTCAGAATAGAAATTCTGCTCACACAGTCCCTGAGAGTTCCTCTTTCCAGCTACAGATCTGAGGAGGAGAGGGCCTCGGCCTGCGGAATCCGCACGCGTGTGATGAGAAGGAAGAGGGTCCCCCTCAAGACCTGACATCTCTTTAAATACCCGCAGCTGTTCCTGTTCCCTGGGGAGAGCGCACAGAACGAAGCCACCTTGTACCACCAGAAGCACACGGCCATAACCCTCCTGGCCTCTTTCTTCTACTCTGCGCACCTGCCGGAGCGCCTGGCCCCTGGACGCTTCGACTACATCGGTGAGTGTGTGGGGTCACCCTGTCCTTGCCCTCCCTCCCACCTGGGGAGGGCTCCCATCCCTGACCCCAGTGCATGCAGTTGTAGAATGGAGGCAGGAGCAGGACGTTCTCCAAGCATGGGCCAAGGTGATGAAATTGTAAGTTGACAGAGGCCGGGATGTACCTAGCCAATGAACTGTCAGGTAGGGTAGGGGAGGACGGAGAGCAGCTAAGTCTGGGACTCTAAAGCATCCCTGTGGGATATGGGGCCAGGGGAGTCCCATTATTTTCTAGACTGTGAAAGCCCATTACTGAATGAACATTGAGGGCAGCCCTGGAGAGGATGAGGAAAGACAGGGTGCGGATGGCAGGGAGCCCTGCAGAGGAGAGGCAAGTGTCTTTGTCTTGTTCAGGTGGGTGCGATGGGGCCAGGAATCATGGTAGAGTAGTGGTTCTCAGGTGTGGTCCGCAGACCAGCAGTACCAGTATCATCTGGGAACGTGCAGATTCTCGGGCCCCACCCCAGACATCCTGAACCAGAAACTTGGGGGTGGGGCCCAGCACTCACTCAGAGGCTGTGTACCACCAAGGCTCCGGGTGAGCCGGAGCTCCCTAAAGTTAGAGAAGTGACATGGTGGAGAGTAGGTGTCAGAGCCACAGGTGTTCACGCCTGCTGGGAGAGTTCCTTCCCCCACTGTCTGCGGAACGCGTCTCCCCGACACTGGCTCTGGGACTGGCTGGAGGAGGGCACCCTCGGGTCGCGTCTGGTGAGGCTGATGAGTCTGGGCGATAAGAGCTCCTTAGAGAAGCTATCATGGGGGTCCAAGGGTCAGTCCTTGTCCCCACGTGGTGCGCAGGAACCTTGGTTCCCACAAACCCATGTTGTCCATGATTTTCCACCTCCCCCACCCAAGACGTGGCCAGATCTGCTGTGTTGGCTCCCATTAGAGGATTCTCTCCCTTACTTATTCGCTCCTGCCAGAAGGGATTACAACTAGCGGAATGCTTAGAGGACAGATTTCAAAAAAGGTGGGAGATGAGAGTGCCCAGGAATTGGAACCAGCCTGCAGGAAGCCGCCGCCCATGTCCACCTCCGCAGCCCCACCTGGGTGAAGTGCCGGGGGTCGTGCAGGAAGTCTTGGGGCTGCAGGGAAAACGGTCCTGGGCCTTATTTTGCCACCTCCCTGGCTTCTCAGTAACATTTTGTTTACTCACCTCTATCCCATCCTCCTGGGCCCAGGGATTTTCAGAGCAGAAAAACACCCCTTTGGCAGGAATTTGCCAGACAGCAGTTAATAGCAGATCCGTATGTTAACAAAGCGTTTGGAAAGTTCTCCGTCCTTAAATAGCGGAGGCTGTGGACGTGGGGCTTCCTCTCCAGTGCCCGCCCGGGAAGTGCCAGGACCTGCGTGGTTGGCGCGGGCCCATAGGAAGCTGCTCCTGTCCCTGTCGGGCGGGATTGCTGAAAGCACTCTTCCTGCTGCAGCCACACTTCAGAGAGGGCCCTGCTCACGGCCCTCTCCATCTGGCCTCCTGCCCTAATGGAGACAGGTTGGCTTCAAGAGACAGGTTGGCCTCAGGTGGAGAGCATAGCCAGTCACCTCTCTGTGCTTGGCCCTGGGCCCTTGGAGAGGGCCCTCTCCTGAATAAGGGAGACCTTTATTCAGCTCTCTCCTGGATAAGGAGCCACTTTGCCGTGTCAGACGCGGATTTGGAAATCGCACACAGCCCATTAGTGTAGCTTGAGTGAGGCAGGGTGGCACCTCCAGGTACCTGCCTGGGCACGGAGACTGGGGCCCTGGCAGCTCCTGCTGTAGGACCTCATGGGCCACCCCCTTGAGAAGCCTCAACTCTCCTGCCTGCTCCTTCCTGACTCTGCTCCTGTTCAGTAGTGCAGGTGGCCGCGCTGGTTCCTTCCTGGGACACATTTGTTGAATACTTACTCTGGCATCGGTCCTGGGGGTGTGACATTAAACTCTGCCTTTTTTTTCACTGAAGGAGAATCCTTATTTAACTCTCGTGTTGTATTAGTTTGCTGGGGCTGCCATAACAAAGAACCACAGACTGCGTGGGCTAAACAGCAGAGATTTATTTTCTCACAGTTTTGGAAGTTAGAAGTCTGAGATCAAGGTGTCGGCAGAGTTGGTTTGTTCTGAGTCCTCTGAGTCCTCTCTCCTTGGCTTGCAGATGGCTGGCTTCTCCGTGTGTCTTCACATGGCCTTCCCTGTGTGTCCCTGCATGTTACTATGCTAATCGCCTCTCCTTATAGGGACACCAGTCATAGTGGGCCCCACCCTGGTGACCTCATTTTAACTTGTCTCTTCAAGACCCTCTCTCCAAACATGGTCATATTCTGAGGTGCTGGGGGTTAGGACTTCAACAACATCTGAATTTGGAAGAGGGAGACATAATTCAGCCATGACACGTGGTCTTCTCCTCTTACTCCTGGTTTCTGAGGGTTGTCCCTTAAAGCAGTCCCCGGCCCTGGGCAACGGACTCCTTTTTTCACCGACCGCCAAATCCGCATGTGCCTGCCCACTGCCGCCACCCTCCCCTGGGCTCCCACCCTCTGTGGATGCATACTCAGTGCGCTGAGTTCCTGCAGGTCATCGGGAAGAAGAGCTCCTGGTCATGTGTGGGATTACCCAGCAGGAGGGAGAGGACCTCCTCATAAGTGGCCAACAGAAAATGTAGCTGGCTTCTCCTTTGACCTTGAAGTCAGAGTCTGAGCTGACTAGCACTGGCTCTCAGGAGATGACCTTTGCCAGCACATGACGCCTAAGTTTTTCATGTGAAAAACAGGACTGGTGGACAAGTTGTTTTAAAAATGGATTTGGTTGGCTCTGATGGCCTTTGTATTTTTCTCACATTACATTTTAAAAATAAACTTAATGAAGCATATTTTACATCTCACATAATTCCCTAATTTCACATAGACAATTCAGTAATGTTTTTAATAAATTTACCATGTTGTACAGCCATCAAGACAAATGAGCTTTAGAATATTTTCATCACCCCAGTCAGATCCCTTATGCCCATGAACTCTCAGTCCCCATTCCCACCCCCTGCCCGAGGCAACCACTAGTCTACTTTCTGTCTCTATGGATTTGCCTTTTCTGGACATTTGAGGTCCATGGAATTGTATAATATGTGGTGTCTCGCTCCTGGCTTCTTTCACTCAGCATAATGTTTTTAGCATACAAGCCATAGCCTGTCTCAATAGTCCACTCCTTTTATTGCTGACCCTAGTGGCCTTTTGTGTGTTTGCTACAGGTCACAGTCATCAGCTGTTCCACGTGTGTGTGATCCTGGCCACGCACGTGCAGATGGAAGCCATACTTCTGGACAAGACTCTGAGACAGGAGTGGCTCCTGGTCAACTCCAGACCCCTGTCTTTCCCTCAGATCGCTGGAGCCATACTTCTGTGCCTTGTCTTCAGCCTCGGCAACATAATTTATTTCTCAGCTGCTCTGTATCGGATTCCCGAGCCAGAATTACATAAAAAAGAAACGTGATTCAGACCATAAGCTTTTCAAGCCCCATGTCAGCATTAAGCTACAATGCCCAAACCACCTAAGCTGGTGGCATGGTACCAATTTGCAGTGGCCTAAAATATTCATAACGGTTGTTGTCTTGGCATTTTTGAGTGGGTTCGTGTCAATAAGGTATTTAACTGGGGAACTTTCTCTCGATGTGCACTGATTCTGTGTGTGTGATTTCCTAAGAGGAACATGGATTCAAGTAAGTCCTCATTCAGGCAAATTATTAATACTTCATTAAGTTTTAAATTTATTTAAAGTGGGTTTTTCAGTTCTTTTTGAACATTGGATTAAGCACACTACCCTTGTAGATTTACTATTAAACAGATGGATTAAGCCTTACTGATACCCTTGTAGTATGGCTCTTTGAAAAATGGAACTTGCTTCATTTGATGAGTTTCAAGTAGCAAAATCTCTCCTGAGAGCTCCTGCAGTGGGAGGAGAATGAGCCAGAAAGGTCAGTGCGGGGAACCCGAGACAGACGATCTTGGGTCTGTGGGGGCCCTGGGACTGGGAAGGCATTCCAGAAGGAGGAGACCTGGCTTGGGCAAGGGTCTTCTTCCTTTCCTCACCTTGTGAAGGGAAGGAATAGAAAGAGAGTCCTCTTTTCCCGCAAGTCCATTTTGCTTCAAAGTGCCATTTCCCATGTCATTGTGGATTTGGATTTCCTTTAAAGCCCACAGCCTATGGGTGGGTGTCATCATTTCTGTTTTGCTCTGTTTTCTTGTTGCCAGTTAGATGCTGCAAAGTATTATGCAGTGCAGGTAAAAGGTGTTACACTGTGGGAGTTGGCTGAGTTAATCCGGGTTGGTTGTGCTTTTCTGTCACCTTTTAAACCAATGCCAGTGCTGTATTTGGGGATGTCATACATTTGATGTTGCTTCAGCATTTTAGATATGCTGCAAAATGGAGTGTTCATGTGCAGAGGACGCTAAAGGCCTTGCCAAAGTGTTGTCCAAATGTAGTGATTCTCAAGCTTTACAGTGAATCAGAAACACTTGGTGAGCTTGTGACAAATGCAGATTTGTGGGGCAAACCAGGAGATTCCGCTGTACTGGTTGAATGTAGGTTTCCTGGAGGAGATTTGCCTGGAAGGGAGCAGGTCCGCAGCTCATTCTAACGCAGAAGGGCCACAGGCCAAACTTGAAGAAATGCTGGTGTCACGAATTCCAGCAGACTCTGGGCCTATCAGCTTTTGTTCTGATTGATCTAATGATCAGCAACTCACCACCTGAGGATGTGTCCCCTGCTTTCTGCTCTGCATAGTACTTAACACTGAGCATTTTCTCATCTGTTGCATTACTAATTAAAGTTCAGTATTTCATGGTGTTTCCAGGGAGTACAGAAATGCTGACACAAAACAGTTTTTAACAGAGGCCCATCCACCCCTGATCTGCACTTGCTAATGACTTCGGGGGCCATCCATCACAATGCAGGCTCCTCTTGGCTGACTCAGGAACACCCCCATATCTTAGAATACTGACTCCATGGTTAACTGGCCCAGACACTTGAATGGCCTTGTAAACAGTTTATCATCCAATCCTCTGAGGACAAGTAACAATTTATATTGGATGAGAGTAGTCAAGAAATATGATTTCATTAGTTTTATTACTTGTTTACTTCCTCTGGGGAAGGTAGACTGATAAAATTATATGGGCTGGTAAATTTTGGGGACATTAATTGCAAGCTGCATGACAAAATTTGTTTTTTTGGCAAGAATCTGACATCGTTAATGGAATTTTACTCCAGCAGGGTCTATGGACTTCCATTTCATCTTTTTGTACTTCATTTTTATAGTGAAAAAGGTACAGTTTAAATTCCCTATTCTAGTAATGCCAAAGACATGAAGGCTTTTAAATTCTCTTGTTTATAAAAGAGTAAAATAATGTTCTTCGTTTGTCTTAGAAATACTTGAAAGATAATGGGTGATTAATTTGAAGGACTTTAGATTATTTAATCTTTGGTTATGCTGTTTTGCTTCATGCTTAATGGTGAAAATGAAACATTAAGTCAACAAAATAAGACCCTTTCATAATGTTTGTATAAGTTTTGTAAACTTAGTCCCATTGTATACTTTTGGATAGTGTTACAAATTAAAACTTTATAACAGTTTGCAGTACACTGGAAGCTTCTAATGTGGAGTGAGAATGGGTTCAAATACACTAAGTATTAAGTCTACTGTCGGTATAGTTTTGCCTAAGCCATTCCAGAAAGTCAAAAAGGTTGGCAGTGGGTCAGTGGAAGACCTCACTGGGAAGATGTCTTTTTTTTTTTTAATACATTTTGGTGAGGAAGATTGGCCCCGAGCTAACATCTGTTCCCAATCTTCCTTTTTTTTTTTTCTCCCCCAAGCCCCAGTACATAGTTGTATATCCTAGTTGTAAGTCCTTCTACTTCTTCTATGTGGGATGCCACCACAGCATGGATTGACGAGAGGTATGTAGGTCTGTGCCCAGGATCCGAACCAGCAAACCCTGGGCCGCCGAAGCAGAGCATGCAAACTTAACCACTGTGCCACTGGCCTGCTCTAGGAAGATGTCTTTTAATGTAGGGGTTCTCGAATTTTTTTTTTTAACATTTCAATACACTTTAGAGATGTGCCATACTCCCATTGGTACCAATTTGCTCACCATGCCACTGTCTCAAAAGGGATTACATAGAGGGCGTGTACACTCCTAATGGGATGTCCCTCTTCCCCCTCCCTCTGCTTGAGAAACACTGCTCTAAAATTTACTAAACGTTATAGTTGTGATAAAACGTGAGTGTGTTTGAATGAGTCAACTGTATCTCCCTTAGCTCATAGCAGAGTTCGTTTTCCATTGCTCAGTTTTTAGAGAGTACCTCCATCTTCTTTCTAAAGAAAGGAATTTGTCATTGTTGATTAGAATTAGAAGTGGGAGGTTTAGAAGCCTTTTGAGTGCAAAGTGATTTAATTATTTGGTCTGCTGCCATCTTTGTCAAGCTCCTGCTCACGTGGGAGGTTCTGAGGAAGGCGGAGTGGGATGCAGTGGTGCTGTCAGATATGCTGCAGTCACCCTTCGTTTGAATCTACTGTGTCCCAAATGTGTTTTGGCCACGGTACCCTTCTTATCTGAAACACCTATTAACGCTATGTAACAACACTTTCCAATGTAAATAGTTGAATGCCGGCCTCTGATTTTCAGTCAACAATCCATTATCGATGAAAAGCCGAAGACCCATTTCTAAATTCAGTGATGTTCTTCTAACTTACACTAATGTCTGGTTTTCTTAAACTGTGTGGGAGGGAAAAAGAAATAAAATTTATTTATTATAATAAAGTTGTCCTGTTTCCCACTTGGTTTGGTTATGTTTCACCTACCACACTGCAAACATGTTCATCCAGCATGAGAAAGACGTTCCTGTGCACGTGTGCATTGCTAAGTCATTCAGGGAATACTGATTTAGTGTCCGGTATATATAGGACAAACACCGTCCTCAGAACTGGGGATACAGGAGTGAACAACACCCACACTGTCCCTCCCTCATGGAGCTGGTGTTCTGATCGGTCAGTCAGATGAGATCGATAGATAAATTCAGAGAGTGGTAAGTGCTATAAAGAAAATAAGCCTGGTGAACGAATAGGGAGGGGTAGGGTAGGGCAGGCGAGAGTGGATGGATGCTCTGATAAGTGGACATTGGAGGAGAAATTTGATGGGCAGAGAGGAGCCAGCTGTGCCAGCAAGTCCGAGGTAAAGTGTTTCAGGTCGAGGTAGCAGTAAGTGCAAAGGCCCCAAGGCCAGCAGGCACTTGTCCTATTGGAAGGATGGAAACCAGGCCACTCATCCCTGAAATGGGTAACTCCAGAAGATGTCTAGATGGCTTGACTTTTGAAGAATTCTGGACTTTCTCCTGAATGTTCTTCCTGGGAGATTGCCCATGGGGCTTTCCTGCATCCACTTGGTATATGTATGAATACTTCGACTCTGTCATAAATGTACTTCAGACAGACAGAGTTGTCACGCCCATTATCTGCATCCCAGGCAACAGATTTCTAAAACTGGCTTAACTTTCGCCTCTTCCAGAGCATGGGACAAGGGACCTCAAAGATAGTTCAATCTGGCCTTTCAAAAAGGTGTTCGATGTAAAATGAACATTCTCATGTCCAAATGAACACACACAAAATACCCGCGGCGGGGGTGGGGGGGCGTCTTGGAGTTCTGAATTTGTATCAAAAGCCCTAGGTGGTTTTTAATATAAAGGACTTGAAGAAGCACTGGCAGAGTCCAAACTTTTTTTTTGACATAATTTCAGACTTAGAAAAATGCTGCCAAATAGTACAAAGAATTCCCAGGTACTTTTCCCCTCCCGCTTTTGATATTTCTGTAACTCTCTTCTCTAAGAACGAGAAACTTGGCTTCCATTATCCACAATATATTTACATTTTTGCTCAGTCCTAGAATGTACAGAACATCATTTCAGAATTACTAACCTGTGTCTGCAAAAAAAAAAAAGCCTACTAATTAGAATTCAGCATATGTTTCCAGTTCTTTTTGTCTTGAGCCTGAGGGCATATAGTCTAAATGGTCTAAATTACCTGGGTTTGTTATAGCCCCCTTTACGTGTGAGTATGTTGTTCATGTGAAATATGGTTCAGATCATTTGTTTCTTTTTGTATCAGTTTTAGTTTCCCGTCCAAGCTTGTTGATTTTATTAATTTGTTTTTTGAGTATATAAAATACTAACATCATTCACTTTACAGATGGCCCGGGAATGTGAAACTGTGTTTCCAAGGCCATGGAGTGAATAGCAGGGCCGGGGAGAGAACTCTGGGTCCATGTGTGGGAGCTGGGTTGGGTGTGTCCCAGCTCCCACAGCAGTCCCGTCTCCTTTCACCGCCTTCCCTCAGACACTGGGCTTCAGCAGGTTCTGGCCATGGGTTCCCACAGCTGCACTTGCTTAACTGGGTGGCTGCATTAATTTATGGCTTTGAACCTGTGCAGTGTCAGCCTGTCTGCAGTGATTCGCATAAGACCCTCTGCAATATTATCATTTATAATAAATATAGATTTGGTCATTTAGATGAGCAAAATATTTTTCTCATATAGATTTGGTCTTTGTCCACAGTTCCTGGTTCACAGCTCCCAGAAACCACGGAATTTCCTAAGTATTGAGAGTGATAAAGGTGTCTTTGTTATGTGAATGAGGTGACTCCTGGAAAGCACCCGAGGATGCTGGTTGCATGGATCCCAGTGGAGCCAAGCGTGTGATTAGAGGGTTGGACCTTTCAGTCCCACCCCCTTGGCCTCTGGGCTGGAGAGGGAGCTCAATCACCAATGGCCACTGGTTTAACCAGTCATGCCCACGGAATGGAACCTCCATAAAAACCCAAAAGGACAGAGTTCAGAGAGCCCTGGGGTTGGTGAACACATGGAGGTGCTGGGAGAGTGGCAAGCTTGGAGAGGACACGGAAGCTCTGCGCCCCTCCCCACACACCAGCCCTGTGCATCCCTTCCATCTGGCTGTCCCTCAGTTTTATTCTTATCTGGTGATCTAGTAAGTAAAATGTTTCTCCGAGTTCTGTGAGCCGCTCTAGCAAATTAATTGAACCTGAGGAGGGGGTCATGGGAACCTCTGATTTACAGCCTGTTGGTCAGAAGAACAAGTAACAACCTGGACTTGCAACTGGAGTCTGAAGTCCAAGGAGGGGGTCGTTGGAACTTCCAATCTGTAGCTGGTTGGTCAGAAGCACAGGTGACTACAACCTGGGCTTGTGACTGGTGTCTGAAGTGGGGGAGGGGCAGTCTTGTGGGACAATCCTTAACCTGTGGGATCTGATGCCATCTCCTGGTAGACAGTGTCAGAACTGAGTTGAATTCTTGGACATCCTGCTGGTGTCTGAAAATTGTTTGCTGGTGTGGGGAACCCCCACCCCATGTTGGAAGCTGGGTCTCAGAACACCCCAAAAGACTCTCAGTCCAGTTTGGCAGTTTCTCATAAAGTTAAACTTACACTTACCACAAGAGCAGCAATCCTAGCCAAGGGAAATGAAAACACATGTCTACATAAAGACCTTTACGCAGATAATTCTAGTTTCATTCATAATCACCAAAAAGTGGAAACAACCTGAGTCCATCAGCTAGTGAATGGATAAATGGTCATGCATCATACAATGGAATACCACTCAGCAATAAAAAACGACCAAATCACTGACACGGGCAACACGTGGATGAATCTCAAAAGCATCATGCTGAGAGGAAGAGGAGACCTTCCGGAGAAGACAAAACTCTTAAGGAAGGAAGTCAGAAAAGTAGTTGCCAAGGGCTGGTGGGGGAGGGGAAGGTGATTGACGACAAAGGGACAGCACAAGGGAATTTTTGGTGTGATGGGGATATTATAGATTTGATTGTGGCAGGGGTTACAGGATGGTGTGTGTTTGTCAAATACATAGATGGCGCAACTACAAGGGGTGAATTTTACTGTGTGTGAACTATACCTCAATAACCTTGACTTTTAAAAGAAGCCTCCCGGTTCTGCTCCCTCCCTGTCTCCTTCTCTCACCTGGATCTCTAATTGTAATTCTAGTTCTAGGAGAAAATACACATCTTTTACTGGCTATGGGGAGCCCTTCCAGGGAAGAGAGTAGGATGTGTTAGGTGTAAGGTGCCTGTGGGACACCCAGAGAAATGATATAATGGAATGGCATTTTAAAGAAAATTAATAAGCCAGAGAGCTTTAATACAGATAGAAGTGAGGAAGAGGAAACTGGCCTGAAGAAAAGCTACAGGTGGTGCAATGTCACTGGGTCCTCGACTGTTCATTCATTCCTTCAAAACATTTGTGGAGGGCCTCCATGGCTAGGCGCCAGGGGTGCAACAGTGCCATCTAGTGAGGTTGTGGGGATAAGCTGGAGAGGAGACAGCAGTAAACAGTTATTGCAAATTGGGATGTGACGGCTGAAGCAAATCAACTGGTGCGGTGACTGGGGGAGTGCAGGGGACTGTGGATACAGAGCAGGGGTCCGGGATCTAGAGCAGGGTAGCTGGCAGAAGACTGAGGATGAGGAGGCATTGTCAGAGGAAGGGACGGAGGGCAGCTTGACAGCAGAAGGAATGTTGTGTGAGCCCAGTGTGTTGAGGGCACTGAAGTTCAACATGGCCG